TCTCTGGGTGGGTCCCAGGGCAGGGTAGGCGCTGGGGCCATCCCACGCAGCCCTTGTGGGCCCTGCCTGGAAGGTGCCCCGCGGCAGTGACCGCTTCCATTCACAGGCCCAGCCTCTTTAACATGCCTTTATAAAAACTGCTGATCTCAAAACTCAGCCTCTTTGTACTGAAAAACAAAGTTACTTTAACACTGACAAAATAGATGTGCCATTTAGAAAAGTTACCAAATAGTTTACAAATGTGTAGAAGGAAAGTGGAAGTCTCCTCCTTGTCCAGCTCCCTTGCAGTAAACTCTGTAACTAGTGTGGTCATGGACGGCCACATGTTTCTGTGCATTTACGTACACTTATATTGATGTCATTGAAAAGTGAGCAATATGGGATCTTGTGCAGTTGGGGAGTCCAGTTATGGGGTCCTCAGCCCAGATGCTGCAGGAAGGGCCACCACCCCAAGCAGAAGAGATGGGCCCCTCCTGGCTGCTCCTTCCTGTGGCCTTCTGGGCTGTGATGGGCGGGACGTGGGTGGGATGCAGTCACTGGAGGACTGAGGTCCCCATGAGGGCAGGGAGCCCTGGGGGAGTAACGGTGTGATAACTCCTGGGCTGGCCAGGGTCGGGGGGAAGCACAGTCCAGCGGCTGCCTGGGACACATGGACTGGGCCCCACCCTTCCGGGGCAGGTGACCACCCTGAACTTCTGTCCCTTACCTGTCCATAGTGACAGTGAGTGCTGAGGCTCCCCAGGGTGCAGCTGTGGACTGCTGTCCAGCACAGAGCTCAGCACCCTGGCCTCCTTGGCTTGCTGGTCCGTCTTGGGCAGCAGGGGGTGGTGCTGAGTCCCCAGGCTGGCTCGAGGCAGCCTCCCTAGCACTGGGGTGGGTCTCCCTGCAGGTTGGACACAGGGTGGCCTTGCTTTGTGTGGGATCTGGCACCGGCCGTGAGAGTTAGTGGAGTATTTGAGCATGCCTGCCCATAGCCCCTCCTGACCGGAGCCCCTGCTGCCCCCGAGATGGGAGGGGCTGGCGGCTTAGGAAAACGCCATCTCTGTGACCGAGAATCTTGGGGCCCAACTCACCAAGGTTACCATCGTTGGGTCACCTTTTGAACCCGGAACTGTGTGATCTTAGGGAAGACCCCCCGTAGTGCATGGGCCTCAGGTGAAGGATTGGCACTTAGGTCCCCTTGGGAGCCAGCAATGGCACAGAAGAGCAGCTGAGGGTGTCAGGGTGCCTGGGGAGCCCACTTTTTTTTTTTTTCATGTTTTGTAGCAAAATTGTGCTTTGAAAATATACTTAAAATTTTTTTAAATTATTTATTTTTAAATTTACATCCAAGTTAGCCTATAGTGCAACAGTGATTTCAGGTGTAGCTTCCTTAATGCCCCTTACCCATTGAGCCCATCCCGCCTCCCATAACCCCTCCAGGAACCCTCTGTTTGTTCTCCATATTTAAGAGTCTCTTATGTTGTGTCCCCCTCCCTGTTTTTATATTATATTATTATATTCCCTTTCCTTATGTTCGTCTGTTTTGTATCTTAGAGTCCTCATGTGAGTAAAGTCATATATTTGTCTTTCTCTAATTTTGCTCTAATACCCTCTAGTTCCATCCACATAGTTGCAGATAACAAGATTTCATTCTTTTTGATTGCCAAGTAATAACTCCATTGTATATATATACCACATCTTCTTTATCCATTCATCTATCGATGGACATTTGGGCTCTTTCCATACTTTGGCTATTGTGGATAGTGCTGCTATAAACATGGGGGTGCATGTGTCCCTTCGAAACAGCACACCTGTATCCCGTGGATAAATGCCTAGTAGTGCAATTGCTGGGCTGTAGGGTAGTTCTATTTTTAGTTTTTTGAGGAAGCTCCATACTATTTTCCAGAGTGGCTGCCCCAGTTTGCATTCCCACCAGCAGTGCAAAAGAGATCCTCTTTCTCCACATCCTCACCAACATCTGCTGTTGCCTGAGTTGTTAATGTTAGCCATTCTGACTGGTGTGAGGTGGTATCTCTTTGTGGTATTGATTTGTATTTCCCTGATGATGAGTGATGTTGAGCATTTTTTCATGTGTTGGTTGGCCATCTGGATGTCTTCGTTGGAGAAATGTCTATTCATGTCTTTTGCTGATTTCTTCACTGGATTATTTGTTTTTTGGGTGTTGAGTTTGGTAAGTTCTTTATAGATTTTGGATACTAACCCTTTATCTGATATATTGTTTGCAAATATCTTCTTCCATTCCATTCGTTGCCTTTTAGTTTTGCTGATTGTTTCCTTCGCTGTGCAGAAGCTTTTAATTTTGATGAGGTCCCAATAGTTCATTTTTCCTTTTGTTTCCCTTGCCTCCGGAAACGTGTCGAGTAAGAAGTTGCTGCGGTCAAGGTCAAAGAGGTTTTTGCCTGCTTTCTCCTCTAGGATTTTGATGGTTTCCTGTCTTACATTTAGGTCTTTCACCCATTTTGAATTTATTTTCATGTATGGTGTAAGAAAGTGGTCCAGGTTCATCTTTCTGCATCGCTGTCCAGTTTTCCCAGCACCGTTCGCTGAAGAGACTGTCTTTGTGCCATTGGAGATTCTTTCCTGCTTTGTCAAAGGTTAGTTGGCCATATGTTTGTGGGTCCATTTCTGGGCTTTCTATTCTGTTCCTTTGATCTGAGTGTCTGTTTTTGTGCCAGTACCATACTGTCTTGATGATGACAGCTTTGCAATACAGCTTGAAGTCTGGAATTGTGATGCCTCCAGCTTTGGTTTTCTTTTTCAAGATTGCTTTGGCTATTTGGGGTCTTTGCTGGTTCCATACAAATTTTAGGATTGTTTGTTCTAGCTCTGTGAAGAATGCTGGTGTTATTTTGATAAGGATTGCTGGGGAGCCCACCATTGTCATTCTATCCCACAAATGGTTAATGGGCTGGGTTCTGGCTAGACAGGAGAGCACGAAAGCAAATGATCAGTCCTGCAGTCAGCAGTCTAGGGATTAACCCAGGGAGGCTTCCTGGAGGTGGTGACACCTTGGCTGCACTTGGGACTCTTAGGATTTCCTCAGTTGAGTTCTTCCCACTATTTCATTATCTGAAAAATGAAGGGTTTAACCAAGTCAGTAGCTCTCTGACTCGAGCAGCCTCAGAAACCCCTCAGACAGCTTGTCAAGGTACAGATCAAGGGCCATCCCTGAGTTTCTGACTTGGCAGGGCCTGAGAATATGCATTCTAACGTGTTGAGGAGAGTGTTCTGTGAGTCTGAAACCCCATCCCCAAGTGAGGCAGCTGAGCCTGGGGACCACGGACACCTCAGCCTCGGGGGCTTTCCTTGAGTTCTTACTCTCCTTACGAAGGATTTTTGTGAGAATTCCAAGGCAACCTTCAGGTGTGTGTGTGTGGCAGGGAAGCCAGGTCGTTTGGGCCGAGTGCCCCTTTTCTCTCACGCGAAGCATGGCTGATGTGCTGTGGCCTGGAAGTCAGATCTGCTTGTGTAGACACCTCACTGCCCCTCTCATGGCAGTGAAATAATCACGGCTACTGTTTGCTCTGCACAGTGGGGAAACTGAGGCCACAGTGGCTCAGAAGCTTGCCCCAGGTTGAGTCAGAAAGCAGGCTAGGGCTGGGAGCAGCACAGCAGCAGGAGCAAGGTGAGTGCTCAGGGCTGCGGGAGCCCAAGGAGAGTGTGTGCACTTCCCAGGCCCCTAAGCACGAGGAGGTAGCCTCCGCCCCTGGGAGGCAGGGCAGCGTGGTGGCCTGGGGATGAAGGTGCTGGGGTGGTGGTGCCTGCTCACCAGTGCTCTCCCGACGTGGGAGAGGGCGCAGGAAGGCCCTGCTCTACTCCAGCCTAGCCTGCCCTCTAAGTGGGGAGAGGATGAGGCTGGTCAAGCTAGCAGGGCAGGCTACTCTGGCCGGCAGGAGGGAGAGTAGACTCGTGGGCACTAGCTTCGGAGGCCTCAGGCTGGCAAACGCTCCTCACTCTGATCCCCACGCAGCACCTCCCAGGTGCCGCCCCCTGGGCAAGGGGAAACTGAGGCCCAGGAGGGCTGCAGACTCTTGTAGACCTTGTGAGGACTTCCACTAAGAGGCTCTGCTGCGGGGTGAGGTGGGCACCCTCAGCCTCCTGGCCATACCAGGCCAGGCCACTGTGGGACCACTGAGCACCCCCAAGACTGCTGTCTGACATGTGCATCTAATGGGCACTTCACATGTAGCATGTCAAAATGAAGTTCCAGATCTTTCTCCAAACCCCACTCTCACGTCCTTTCCCGTGCTGATCAATCACTCAGGCCTGAGACATTTTTCGCAGCATTTGGAGTTGACCCTGCTCCCCTCCTCTGCTACCCCCTGACCTGAGCAATCCCTCCCTGGGTTATGGCAAAACCCACCAATTGGTTTGCCGATCCTTTCCTTCCTGGGTCTCCGCATAGTAGAAATAGTGACATTCACCCTGAGTCAAGTCATTCTTGTGCTCAGAGCTTCCATGCCTCCTGTCTCAGAGGAATAGCACATGGCCCCCTGGCCCACACTGTGCAGGGTCTGGCTTGTTACTCAGACCACTCTCCCTGCTCCTTCCCTCCACACACACTGGCCTCAGGACCTTTGCACCTGCTGTCTCTTATACCTAGAATGTTCCTTTCTTATTCCGGGCAGCTGCATGACTAACACCATCTTACCTGAGGCTGCCGTGACCACCCCGAAATGCTCCAGATCCTTCTCCTATGGGCATTGTTTTTCCCATAGTTTCTCTTCTTCCACTGGGATGTGACCCCAGGAGGCAGGGTTCTGTGTGTCTAGGTTCTAGGAATGAGGCCTGGTATGCGTGGAGCAGGTGTTCAAGAAATATTTCTCAGACACTCAGTGAATGTAGGGCTGCTGAGGAATCTGCCTGCCCATCTGAGCTGCCATTCAATGCCCACCCTTGGGTGGGGTGCCCCTCCTGGCCCTGCTGGGGCTCTCACTGTGCACCTGCACTCAGGCTGTGGGTGACCAGGCCTGTGACGCCTCTTTCTTCTCTCCCAGGAAACTATGCCCCAGACGTCCGTCGTCTTCTCCAGCATACTTGGGCCCAGCTGTAGTGGACAGGTGCTGCCCGGCATGGGGGAGCGAGGAAGTGGGGCCAGCAGCTCCGGGGACCTCGTCTTCCAAGAGGGACGCCTCATCTCTGGGTCCCTAGAAGCTTTGATGGAGCACCTGGTCCCCACAGTGGACTATTACCCGGATGTAAGTGCCTGGGGCCTGGAGATGGGTGGGACTGTTCGGGGTCACCTAGGTTCCAGGGGCAGCTGCTTCGGGGATGGGAAGGGAGGCCCAGACAGAGCTGGACAGAGCAATGGGAGAGGCAGGCCATCAGGGAGTCTCAGCCCTACCTCCTGCTCTGCCCTCCTGCCCCTTCAGTGGAGAGGAATCTGCAGCGACGTCCCTGCTGACCCCAGGCAGCTGGGAGATAGCCTTGGTGGCACAAGGAAGCAGATACACAAGGGGTGGAACAGGGGTCAGAGTTCTGAACAGGGTCCTTAGGGAAGAGCCTAAGGAGTAAGACTGGAGCCTTGGGGTCCTGGTGAGGGTCCACCCAGCTGGGAAGTTTGTTTTATGCATGAAATGCCATGGTCCCGAATAAAGAGGGACAGCCCCGCCATGCCCAGCCAGCATGCAGACCCCACGGCACCTGCCTGCGTGGGCGGGACTGGCCTTCCGCTACAATTCGGATCCCCCTCTTCATTTCAAGATGCCACTGGTACGTTCTTAGAACAGGCAGAAAGAGTTCCCTTGTCATGTGTGGCTTCCCTTTTGCCTCTGAGAGGGCACATCTCTTAGCAGCAGTGGTCTTGGGCCTGCCTGCTCCCTTTGGAGGGCCAGGCTGCAACAGTCCCCTTCCAGGTGCCCCCTCCCTCCTGAGGACAGAGCTGTGCTTGCCGGCCTTGGCGTCTGACACAGGCTTGCATGGGAGGGTCGGGGAGGAATTGCCCCCATCCACTCTCCAGCTTTTATCCAATGGTGCTGGAGCCAACTCAGTTTCTGGGTGTTCCTGGCACAACCCCCCCAACACGTCAGGCCTCCTACCTTCCTCCTGGGGCTGTCTACTCCATGCTACTTGAAAACCCTCCCAAAGCTGGGCTGGGGCTGGAATTGGTGGTACAGACACTGCAGCTGAGGGTCAGGTCTCCTGAAGAAGCCTAGGGCAGAGCATCAGCCTCCCAGGGGCTGGCACCTCCAACCCCAGAACTGTTCTGTGGCCTTGTGGGAGGAGCTACTTCTCTTTTAGGTGTGTCCCGAGGGGCCTCCTCAGCTGTTACCCAGTGTTCTCCCCCAGACACTATGCCCTGGGATCACCCCCTGCTTTCCAGGAGAGAGTAAAGGGGTGGTAGTGCAGAGGTAGGGCCGGCAGAGTCCAGCTGGGCATCAGCTTTTCTGCCAAGCTCCTGGGTTCCCTCCCTCCCCCCACTGCCCCCCTCCACTGTGTATGTGGGCAGCTGGGGATGCACACACACACACCAGCAAGTCTCTGTGCTCCTTGGAAATGCACAGCTCCTCCCTGGCTTCTCTTCTTGCCTTGGCTAGGAACTCCAAGGTGTGATGCCTGGGTGACATTCATCACACTTCTGAGCCATCTGTTTAGAAGGGGGCCACCACGCAGCTGGGATCCCTGAGCACCCATGCTACACAGCCTGGGGACAGGGCATGGGAAGTCTGTTGGGGGTTGGAGGAACCCCTGCTGTTCCCAGGAGGATCTCCTCAAGTGGCATCTGAAGGCTGCAGGGGGGCAGTGAGGGCCCAAGGCCTTGAGGCCTGATCTGCAAGGCCTGTGCTTCCCAGCAAACATGGCCCACTTGCTTTGGGCTGGAACAAGGAAGACCTGTCCCTGGGCCCAGGGTGAGGGCAAAGGGTCCCAGGCCCCCCAGCCTGCAGCACCCATGTAGGGGTAGAGTCCCCAGGAGAGCTTCAAGCATCTTGCCCCACTCCTAGGTCCAACCTGTCTGCAGGCAGGAGCCAGTGTGAAGGTCTCCCAGGTGCTGACCCATGTCAGACAAAAGGCCTCAGAGAACCCTTGGCCCTGGGCCCTGTTCCCTGACACCTTTTAGTCCAGATCATGAGGGCCCTTCAGAAACTGTACCACACAGCCCAGGGACAAGGGCACATGGATGTGGGCCAGAGGGGCACTGGTACAGCAGGTGGACATAAGTCCCAGAGCTGGTTGTTAGCACAGGGGCTTGTGACAGTCCCTGACGCTGGGTGCTGGGTCCAAAAATGCCCCACTCTGCCCGCCATTGGCAAGGCCAGTAAGGATCTGGATAAGAAGGCTTGGAGACTGACCCTGGAGGCACTGTGGGCTGGGCAATGGGCTCACACAGGCTGGGAGAGTCCCACCAACATCCAGGTTTGGGTGTTAGCTCCCACCATGGGGTAGGACAGAGGGTGGGGGAGAATCCCAGCAGAGCAAGACTGCTGGGAGCTGAGCTTGTCAGGGGAAGCCTCCAGGAGCTGCAGGGAAGTGGGGTTTGATCTGTGCCTTGCAAGGGAGGCAGGAATTTGGGTGGCAGTGAGAGAAAAGGAAGGACGTTCAAGGTGGAATAAACCATGCAGGAGAAGGCATGGCTGCTGGATGGTGCTGTTGGGCCCGGCAGGTGGCTAGACAGGCTGTGACCATAGCTGGACGGGGCGGCACAGGCCCGACCTCCTCTTCATCCCCTCTCCCTGTCTCTTCTTCAGAGGACATACATCTTTACATTTCTCTTGAGCTCCCGGGTCTTCATCCCCCCTCATGACCTGCTGGCCCGCGTGGGGCAGATCTGCCTGGAGCAGAGGCAGCAGCTGGAGACCGGGTCTGAGAAGGTAAAGGAGCAGATGGGTGCTGCCTGTCTCCGTGCTTCTAGAAGGTCAGGTCTGGCTGAGCCCAGCAGGGGGCCCTCCCTGATGGGGCAGATTGGCTGGTCTCTGGCCTCCTTGGCAGAGCAGCATGGGGTGCATGCGCCTGGGGCATGGCGCCCCATTCGGCATGGGGTGCACACAGAGCCGACTACTCTTCATGGGATGCTGAAAGTAACTGCTCTTGGTGGGCACTCACACCCCTTTCCAGGAGAGAGCCACGGCAGACGGCTCTGCCAGCAATCCTGGTCAGTGCCGGGACCCCCCGCTGGTAGAAAAGCCGGCAGTGGGACCTGGGTCACTGACCCCTCCGGGGTGGGGGTCAGGTGGCAGCACTCGCAGGCTGACTCCTGCTCAGAGTGGTTTGCAGTGACTCAAATGGGGCTCTCTGCCCCTGCTGTCTCTTCTTGAGCCAGGCTTTGGGCGGCCGGGATAGTCAAGAAACCATAGGCTGTCCCTGGGGGCATGTGCTTCAGATGAGGCCCAGGGTCTGGTGCCATCAGAGAGCTGGCAGAGCCTAGTCTGGGCTGTGGCAGAGCATGTCCCATCCCTGTTTGCTGGTGACTTTCCCCTCTACCTTCCCTCCACCAGGCTAGGCCACCTGCCCCTGCAGGTGTGCAGCCCAGGCCTGTGAACTGAGTCTCCTTGTTGGAGGGGTGCGGGGATGCGCTCCTGGAGTCCCTGGATGCAGGAAGACAGGCACTGAGCACAGCCTGAGGGTTAGGAAAGGCTCCTGAAGAGACAGGTGGAAATAAGTCCAAGCGGGGTGGCTGGGGAGATGAAATTATAGGCTGAAGGTCAGCATGGAGACAGAAGCTTAAGAGGAGCCTGGCATGAACCTGCCAGCCTGTGTTCATGGTGACATGCACCGCAGGGCCTCTGAGGGGCTTCAAGGCTCTAGCTCCTGCTGAGTGTGGGGTGTGGTCCTCTGGGGAAGTATCAGCAAGGCCTCCTGGATGCCGTCTGCACTGGACTCTGGCCAGGAGGAGTGGCTGCAGGGAGTGAGGGCCCAGCTGGGAGAGGCTCCCCAAGGCATGGGAAGCCATCACTAGGGGACCAGCTGGGGACATGGCCAGAATCAGGCAGGTTGGAGGCAGCTCAGCAGGAGTGGAGGCAGATGTGGGCAAAAAGAAGTGGGGGTGGAGGGTGGTGAGAGGCCCACAGGGCAGCTAGAACAGTCCAGGTTGGGCAGGTATAGGCAGGCAGGGAGCTGGTCAGTGCTGGGGAGCTGTGGTGGGCACATGTGTGTGTGTGGGACTGTGTGGGGCTGGGCCCTGTAGACCCGCTGGGATACTGCGGCCAAGCAATTTACACATCCTTCTCAGGCCTTACCGGTGTGTGGACCCAGGGTGACGGCAGGGGTGCCCAGCCCGTCTTTAAGGATAGGAGGTCCGGAGAGGGATGCCTCTGAGTGCCTGCGCCCCTTCCCAGCACTTGCCAACCTGTTGCTGAGAGGGGGCAGGCAAGAATCTCTCACTTAAAAAAAAAAATTTTTTTTTTATTTTTGTTTTTGAGAGAGAGATATACAGAGCAAGTGGGGGAGGAGTAGAGAGAGAGGGAGACAAAGCCCCAAGCAGGCTCCGCGCTGCCAGCAGAGTCCGATGCGGGGCCTGAACCCACACACTATGAGATCATGACTTGAGCAGAAATCAAGAGTTGGATGCCCAACCGACTGAGTCACCCAGGTGCCCTGAGAGTCTCTGATTTTTAATAATTTTCCTTGGTTTTCATTGTTGTTGTCATTTATATGGCTAACTTCTAATTACAGCAAAGGAAACTAGTTTTCTATGTCATGGTTATGAGAGGACAAGTTTTTTGAAAATAAATTTAAGTGAAAAAGAATGCTGACCTAAGGGGGAATATGAAACCAAGCAGGTACAACAAAGCCACAGGTAGACAGAGTGGGGATGTCCTTCTCTAGAACCCTCGCCCCAGCATGGGGCTGGGGAGCAGGTCCCATGAGGGATAATGGGGGTGGGGGGGTTGCAGACCTGGGGGAGATGGGGAGGCTTGTACCACTGGTCATCTTGTGCCCACTCTGGAGGGTAACTTTACACCCTGCCACCCCAGGCCAAGCTGAAGTCCTTCTCAGCCAAGATTGTGCAGCTGTTAAAGGAGTGGACAGAAGCCTTCCCCTACGACTTCCAGGATGAGAAGGCCATGGCTGAACTGAAGGCCATTACCCACCGGGTCACGCAGTGTGATGAGGTGAGGTCTTCCTTAGACCCTGGCAGAACCCCTTAGGTATGTGTCTGGGGAAGGGGGGGGTCTACTCTCACAGGAGGATAGGTCTTCAGGGACAGCTCTGTATGTGGTCCTCTATGCGGTCACCCTCCCAAGACAACTGCTGGATGGCTCCATTTGTGCCCCTCCCCACAAGACTGCTCAGCTGTCCAGCAATGGGCCAGACTTGCCCTTGGCATCTTCTGCATGTGGGAAACCCTGTGTCCCGAGTGACGGGCTGGAATGAGCCCAGGCCCCACCTTTCCTGGGCTTGGGGTGAGTGGAGTGGGGACCTAGTAAGAGGTTTTAAGAGCCCGTCTACACCTCTGGCTCCCAGCTCCTTCCTGGCCTTCTGTGGAGACAGGAAACCTGGCTGGCTGGGTCTCCACAATGAAAGTGCTCTGTGTGCTCAGCAGTTTCTATCTGGCTGGAGGGCTCAGAAAGCCCAGGGAGAGTTCGGGGGGCTGCTCCCACCCAGAGAGCAAAGGTTCCTGGTCCTGGAGGGAGCCCTTCCAGATGCTCTCCTCCCTGCTGTGGGGAGGCCAAAAGTATTTCAGCTGGACAGCATTAGGAAAACCATGGTTTTCAGACCCAGAAGACTACCCCTGGCCCTGCCCTGGCCCTCCGTTCCCATCCCCACAGGACAGCCAGCTGAGCCACCCTCCTCAACGGTACTCAGAGAAGCCCACACTGTGTTCCATTCTACCTTCAAAAGCCCAAACGCTCATGGCAGGTTTTAGTAGGGAAGTGCATTCAAAGTCGGGCACATCCCTGGAGAGGAAATGGGTTTCTCTGGAGAGGTGGTGGCCTTGCCGGCCCACACCTGCACCTTTGTTGTCTCCTGACCTCCACAGGAGAATGGCACAGTGAAGAAGGCCATTGCCCAAATGACACAGAGCCTGCTGCTGTCGCTGGCTGCCCGGAGCCAGCTTCAGGAGCTGCGGGACAAGCTTCGTTCACCGGCGATGGACAAAGGGTCTGTCCTCAAGACTAAGCCGCCAGCCACTCAGAAGGACATCCTGGGCGTGTGCTGCGACCCCCTGGTGCTGGCCCAGCAGCTGACTCATATCGAGCTGGTCAGTGTTTCATTGTGCCCTGCCTGGCATGGGGGCGGGGATGCACTCACCAATGCTGGACCCCCAGCATCTTTCTCAACATAGTGCTGCAGGGCCTCCCCTGCTGGTCAGACTGGGGTGTCAGGTGAAGCTCACTTGTCGGCTCCTGGGTCCCTGGGATCACAGCAACCCCATGTATAGGGGAGGGGCTGGGTGATGGGGACTGGCCCAGGAGGTGAAAGGCTTAGAGGGGGAGGGCCTGTTCCCCTGCCCTGTCACCTCATCTTGCCTCTGCCCTGGGCTGAGAAGGTACCCTGCACCTAGGAGCCACTGCCCCCAAGACTTCCACCTCATCCCATGAAGCCCTGGGAGGGGAGGGGTCTTGCAGACCCCTGGGGTGCATTTCAGGGCCTGCCCACTGGCTGGGTGCTCTGATCAAGGAGGGCCTGTAGTGCACCCCTGCAGAAAGGTCTTCACAGCTACTCTAAACATGGCCTATACCCCGAGTGTGGGGCCTGCCGGAGAATGGCAGGTTCATCACCCCTCCTGTGCTACCTCCTCGCCCATCCTAGGAGAGGGTCAGCAGCATTCACCCTGAGGACCTGATGCAGATCGTCAGCCACATGGACTCTCGGGACAAGCACCGGGTGAGGGGCTGCTGTGTGCTCTGTGGTGGCCTTAGGGTGGGCCTAGCACCTATACCTATGCAGGGTGGGGGCCTTACAACCAAATGTTAGGGGTGTGGCCTGGTGCCTGCCCCAAGGGGTCAGCAGACAGCTATTCAGGGTGCTGCATGCTGGAAGGGGGCCACTGTTCCCAGGAACCCGGGGATGGGGCATCCTGGGAGACCTGGACCTGTCAGCTGCCCACACCCCACCATCACTTTCAGTCTCTTTTGCCATGGTTCCTGCTCACTTCTGGGGTTAGGGCTGGGGCAGCACCTGCTGGCAGGGTCCTCAGGTTCCCTGTGACCTGTTGTGTTTCTCCCAGTGCCGAGGGGACCTGACCAAGACCTATAGCCTGGAGGCCTATGACAACTGGTTCAACTGCCTTAGCATGCTAGTGGCCACCGAGGTGTGCCGGGTAAGTGCTGCATGGCCCATATGGGTGGGGTGACACTGTCCCTTCTCTGGACCCACAGTGCTTCCTGAGGCTCTGACTTCTACACCCCTGAGATGATAAAACTTTGAAAGTGGAGACAGAAGTCTCCATTGCTGGGGCACCAACATCCCTGTTCCCCCCTACCCTCCAGCCAATCTCACAGTAATTATGAGACACCCATCCATGGAGTGTACCTGGCATGTTCTGTGAGTTTATCTGGGACTCCCTTAGTACTCTCAGACTGCCCTCCTGCCCCCCTCTGCCCAGCACCGAAAATGCTACAGCTGCGTTTCCTACCTCTGCAGCCAATGAGCGTCTCCCCAGCCCTGGGTCTGACAGCTCTGAGGGCCCAGTGTAGCTCCTGTCTAGGCTGCCCTTCAGGGACTGGTTGGGGGGTTACTCCTGTAGGGGGCTCACCCTGAAGCTGTTTGGCTGCTCTCCAGGTGGTGAAGAAGAAGCACCGGACCCGCATGCTAGAGTTCTTTATTGATGTGGCCCGGGAGTGCTTCAACATCGGGAATTTCAACTCCATGATGGCCATCATCTGTGAGTGGCCAGGCCCCAGGGGCTTCCTACCCAGCTTCTGCATGGCCTACCTAACCCCACCCTGACTCCACCTGCTGTTCCCTGCAGCTGGCATGAACCTCAGTCCTGTGGCGAGGCTGAAGAAAACGTGGTCCAAAGTCAAGACGGCCAAGTTTGACGTCTTGGAGGTAAGCACCTCAGCCATGTCCTACATTGGCCTGAGGAGGGGTGGGCCTCATCCACTCTGCCCCCTTGCTCAGAACCCACTGCCCACAGTGCCATCTGGTGTAGGGCATGTTGAGCTGGCCTGGCTGCTCTAGGAGGTGGGTAGCTGAAGCTCTCCTCGGCCCTTGGAACTTTAGGCAGAACTGGCATTGCCTAAGGCAAGTTCTAGAGAGTGGTTAAGAAAGAGTTTGACAAAAGTGGGTCCCAGGGTGTTGCTGGGGTGTTGGGTGATGCTGACGAAGCAGAGGCTGTCCTTTTCCTGGCTTGAGTTCCTGCGGTCCTGGATCATCCAGGTGGCCCAAGAGTGGGTAGGTTCACCTGCAGCCTTCCCTGAAGTATTTGATCACAGAATCCACTTTCTGCAAATGTGTCCTATGGAGCTTGTCAATTTTGGGAGGTATTGGTCCAAGTAGAAGGGCAAAGGAAGGTTTTGAAAGGAAAGAAGTGAGACCCAGGCTCAGCAGGGCAGGGAAGAGGTGTGTGTGAGCTGTGAGACTTCTCTGTAACTTTCCTCATGTTTGGATCCAAACCCGGTACTCAGCCAGGTGCTCACTCCCAGAAAGGAGGCCTCTTCTGGTGACAGTCCAGGGCTGCCCAGCAGGGAAATGCCTTCCCCATCGCTGTTTCCTGCTCTGCGAAGGGGCATTCTGAACAAGTCAGGCGTACAGGGAGAACACAGCCAACCAGGTCCTCCTGTCTGCCCACAGCACCACATGGACCCATCCAGCAACTTCTGCAACTACCGCACTGCCCTGCAGGGTGCCACTCAAAGGTCCCAGATGGCCAACAGCAGCAGAGAGAAGATTGTTATCCCTGTATTCAACCTTTTCGTTAAGGACATTTACTTCCTGCACAAAATCCATACCAATCACTTGCCCAACGGGCATGTTAACTTTAAGGTGAGCTCAGCACCCTTGTGGCCTGAGGGGAGGGGGGCCAGACTGTCCCAACACAGGGCAGAACAGACCTCTCAGCCTTATCCTAGGGCAGGTAGAATCTGTGCTACTAGAGCTGAAAAGCAGTGGCCCTTTCCAGAAAGGCCTTTAGGACTGAAAGCTCCAGGGTGGGTTATGTGTGCTGTTTGTGAAGTATTAAGGGTGGCCCCAACACTGACCCCACCAGGGAGACAGAGAAAGGGCTACTTCTGGGGGTTTGGGAGTGAGGAAGGCTTTAGGCAAGAAGGTACCTGAGCAGGGAGGAGGCAGAATTCCAGATGGAAACCAAGGGTAGCTGGCCAACGGTGGGAAGGTAGGACAAAGGTTATGGGGGCCTGTGTAAGAATCCATAACTCTTTTCTACCCCTTACCTGTGTGAGGTAAGTACTGGACAGCCCCGTTTCCCCTACAGCTCCCCAGAGAATGAGATCATGACACGTTCAGGTTGGTGGTGCTGTGCTGGGTATGGCTGGCATACCTGCCTCAGCCTGGAGTCCCCGATGGGGCCCTCTTGGGGTCTTGCACGGGGGAGGCACAGACCCTGCTGCAGCCTCGGGCCTAGGCAAAGTGCAGGACCGAATGGTCTTGGGGACACTTACTGGCTTTGATGCTGCATAAAGTGCTGCCGTGGCCACAAAGTCAGCTGAGCAGGGTCACCGTCCCATCTTGCTGGGGCACAGAATGAAACCGGAACCTACGTCCCCTGCCCGAACCAAGGATTTCAAGCTTAAGGTGACAAATGAACATCCAGTTGGTCTTCTGTGCCTTCAGAAATTTTGGGAAATCTCCAGACAGATCCATGAGTTCATGACATGGACTCAGGTAGAGTGTCCCTTCGAGAAGGACAAGAAGATTCAGAACTACCTGCTCACGGCACCCATCTACAGCGAGGAAGGTGAGGCCCGGCTCCCCAGGGCAGCACACCCACCTCCCTACACTGTACATGTCACCCTGACTCCCCATGTCCAGGGCCTCTCCTCTCCTGGGGGGTTGCCCTGGGAGGCAGGCCTGATCACAGGGGAAGCTGAGCCCACAGGGCTGAGTACGTGAGGGTGGGCTGTGGGTAGGTGACAGGATGAGAACAAGGAGAGATGGGGCTCTGGAAGCCCCGATAGTGTTGCAGAACCAGGAAGCTTCTCAGTCTCCAAACTGTGAGCTCTAGAACCCCAGGGAGCAGAGACCTGTGGACAGGCCCAGACCAGAAGTCACTGTCCCTTCCCAGGCCCAGTTGTACCCCTAGAAAGGAAGGGACAACTGGTGTGGTAGGCAGACTGACTGCATGTGGACGTGGGTTCTGAGGGGCTTCTTCTCTCAGCTCTCTTCATCGCCTCCTTTGAAAGTGAAGGTCCTGAAAACCACATGGAGAAGGATAGCTGGAAGACTCTCAGGTAGGAGAACCCCCAGGACGGGCCTGTGAGCCCCCGAGATCAGTCCTGTGCCCAAGTCTGCTGGAAGGGAGAGGACTGGGGAGCGTGATGGATCTGCCCTTCTGAAAGGCGGCCAGGGGTGTCTCTACACAGGCTGCCAGTCGGTGGGAGGCTGAGGACTTGGGTCTGAGTGTCGCTGACCCTTCCCCTCTTGGCCGGATCTTTGAATCCAGGCTGTCCCCAAATAGCGTGGCCTGCCTTCTGCCTGCCCAGGGGAAGGGCCTGCCAACCACCTGACCATTTCTCTGTGCCCTGCTTACCTTTAGGACGACTCTCCTTAACAGAGCCTGAAGGCACGGATGCAGCCTGCAGACGCTGGACGAAGCACACACATGCACTGAGTTTTAATCTTGATTGATAAGGGTTGAGATGAGGAGGCCTCACTGGTTGGGGTCCATTTTGTATATAACTTTTATGGGAAAAAAAATAATTATTTCATGCATCAACCTTTGGCACTTACAAAAGTTTTTTTGTTTATTTTAAATAACAGGGCAGGGCCCTGCTTCGGGGAGGGTGGGGAAAGTATCATGGGAGATGGCATCCATGATAACATCTTATTCTAATGAAATGTAGATTTTTATTTTCTACTTTTGATTATTAACATCTTACGAAAAAATATTAAAAAAAAAAACAAAACCCAACCAAAACCAATGTGAGCCCTGCCTGCTTGGACGCCCTTCCAGCCAGTGTCTCTGATGTCGGGGTTAGTGCCTTAGAGAGTACTGGAGGGCTGGTCTCCCACTCTATTCTTTTAGCCCTCAGCCAGCCAGTGCCAGGGAAATGCCAGGAAAGCTCTGCCCTGGGCCACAAAGTACCTGCCCTCAAAACCTAGGCCAGAGAGGTTCTAGCAAGAAGGGCTTGGCTGGCCAGGGGGCCTCATTTGCATACTTCTAGAAGCAAACCCTGAGTACAGGCTTTCCAAAGTTTACATTTTCATTTTCCTTTATCAGGGATTTAGGGGGTCGGGGAGGGGCAGGGGGATACCTGGCAGCATATTTCCATTGGAATATGTCTGGCAAATTGTTCAACTACATTTTAGGAAAAGAGAAAATCTAAAATAAATGTAAGGGGGGAGGGTGTGGTGGAATTGTCTGTTTCCCAGGCTATAACGGAAAGGTACACTGAGCTGTAATGAAGAGAGTACAAAGTAGACTTGAGGATAGGGACATTTAAAGCAGTTCCTGAAACTCCAGTACAAAATGAAAAGAAGCAACTTACAAAGCAGTATTCTAGCAGACTGCCTCCTCCTTCCCTCTGGGTGGGGGCTCCCCTAAGGGAATCTGAAACAGAATATTAGCCAGACCAGACTGCTGGAGCCCACTCACAGAAAACTACCCAGCATTTGGAGGTATTTTCCATACCCAAACTTGAGTACACTCCATTTTCTGTCTTTCTGGCTGTGGGAGGGCAAGTCCTGATCCCTCAAAAGCCAGAGGTGGGCCATCTGCTCTGACTCTCCCTCACAGCAGGGCTTTCGTTCTGCACAAGCAGATTCAGAACTACTCACCCTTGTTTCTCTCCGTATGCCTGGCTTCCCAGGAGCCTGCAGCCGAGATGCCCAAGTGAGGATGGGTCAGTTAGTTGCTAATTCCCAAAGCTCCTAGGAGAGCCTGGAGATGTGGAGGTGAGGCCTCAGGAAGGGGTGGCTCCCCAATCCGATATGGACGTCGCCCTCAGCCCTGGGTGGAACAAGATTATTTACACTGTATTGTCACAGTGTTTTTGCACTTTTCAGATGTTCTAGATAGTACATATTGTATCTTGGTAGTACATATTGCCTTGTTTATGTATTTGAGATACAGAAAGGCTAAAAACTTGAGAATATATATTTGGAATACAACGTTAGAACACTTTGTCTTGCGAGTTAAGGAGCTTTCATGTCAGTGTGCACTCCACGGGGTCATCAGTCCTAGTACCTACCTGATACAGTGTCTATGTTTGCTACTTTATTTTCCCAATTTGATACACACCTTACGATGTTTTGGTATTTTGAGATGAACTCTGAGTACAAAGCTGTACCGTAACACAGGATGTCAGTTGTTGGTGTGACTGGACGTACTTGCATCAATAAAAGAACATGTTGCTCCCCTTGCATGCCTGCTCTCTGCGTGTAGCTGGTGAGGCCTGATGGCTTGGCTGCTGACAAAGAGGTGTGAGGATGTCTAGGTCCTTCAAAGAAGGAGCAAGGGTCTCCCACCTACACAACACATTCTGACAAAGGGCTTCAAATAAATAATGCAAAACAAGACCAAGTTGTAGAAGAGTTGTGTTCTGGTCCTGCTTTCCTCAAGGTAAGATCCCAAACTGTATCACTAGTTGATTGTATCACATGGTCCTAGAAGTTTGGGAAACTTAACCCATATAAGACTGTAAATGCTCCTTTACTACAGGACTAGTCAGAACTGTCGGTTCTGTGGGGCTCTGCTGGGGCAAGGGAAGTTGGGGGCGCCTGCTGACATCTTTCTGTAGAACAGTTTGCAGAATGCAGTTCTAGATGGGGGCTCTTTCTGTTGTGATGAGTCACCTTCAAGACTACTAAAGAAAAGGGATTTGTTGAAAGGCACATGAGAGTTTGTGGAATTGAAAGAAAAGCATTGAGACACCGGAATGGAAGCCAAACTCCCACCTGTCCCTCTCCAGCCTATCCCACTGCCACTCTGTCAACAATGCCCAGGCTGGACGAGATCTGCTCTACAGTTCACTGAACCTTACCCTGTTCCCTCAGAGCTAACTCGGGCTCATTTTTCAACGTGTACAGTGTCTGCCATCTGCCCAACAGAAACCTTTCTGTGATGGGTGTGCTCTCTATCTGCATTGCTGCTAGTTACATCTGTGCACTGAGATGTGGCCAATACAACTGAGGAATGGAATTTCTAATTTGAGGTGTAAATAGCTAGTGGCCACTGTACTGGACAGAACGCTAGGCCTGTGGGGCTTTGTCACCTGCTGTCCTTCCAGTGGCCTATGGACAGCACACAATAGGTGCTTAGGTGTTTGTAGAGCAATGAGGACACCTATGAGGACGCACAAGTGAGTTTTGGGTAAATGACACTTTTTCAGTCTTTATGATTCAATGGAATTCTTAATTTCCTGGTAAAGTCATTTTTGAACGTTTCTACCTACCTCAGCTGAAGAAGGGGCAGCACATCCTTCAGTGTGTGCCTTGGCCGTGGAGCTTGAGCTGGAAGTGCATGGCGAGCTCTCTTGGCTAGCTGTGGTGCTCCTGCACCCACAGAGTAGTCCCCCTAGGCATGCTTCTCAAGGTGTGGCTCTTTGATGGCAGCATTAGCAGCACTGGGCACTTGCTCAAACTGATCTCAGAGTCCCTCTGCAGGCTCACTAAAGGGGAAAACGGGGTTGGGGAGTCCAGAGTGTTTGGGAAGCTCCTCTGCTGATCCTCACAGCCCACCTTTCCCAGGTACAGCTCACTTCTCCCAGGTGCACTCTGCTTTGCACACATCAAACCTCCACGTCACTAGTGCACGTCCTTTAATGTACTATGGTCCTGTGCTCGCACACATTCTTCCAGAGTCCCCTTACAGCTTCTCTGGTGAGTGGTGCTCTGTGCTCCTCCGGGCCCCATCTGTTTTCTCACCTTATACCATTGGCATCCGTCTTGCCCTCAGTCTTGGCTTTCTGAGTAGGAGCCACTTGCGTAGCTGTGTGGCCAGCGATCAGCAAGGTGTGCAGCTCCTACCACCTCCACATGATGACTGAATGCTGCCTTTCACTTCACACACACATTTGAAGAACAAATCTATGTTATAGCATCATGTGACAGGAAATAAGCTAAGGATCTCTCCTAAGGCCATAGAGACTTCTGTGACAAAACTAAGATTATTTGTGAAATATATACCCATTACACCTATATATAAAAATAATGTCCTCTTCCCCAGGGAGGCAAGACAGGATAAGCATAAGAGCAAGGAATCAAAAGTTAAACTATTAGGATTCGAATCCTAGTTTCCAGTTCTCAGCAGGGTATACTTGGAAAAGTTGTTTGTCTTTTAAAGCTTCCATTTTCTTAAGATTGAGATGAAATTACAATACTCTCTGTCTCATGGGGTTGTTGTAATGTTACACGGCAGAAAGTGCAGTGCCTGGTTCATTAGAAGCAGTCAGTGTTAGCTGGGTACTTGCAGTGGCACCCCTGATGAAACTGAACCCCACTTCTCCCACAGAGCAGAATCTCCTGGGAAAAGTGACACAAGAATTATAAGTGACCTTCTCAAAGGGACAACTGATGTTCTGGTTAATATATTCTAACACTACTGAAAAGTCACTTGTGTTAAATTTAATCAGTATATACATATATGAGGAAAAATCCCACAAATTGGGGATTCTGAACTACTTTCTAAATGAAAAACCTATTACCCACATACAGGCTAGTGACCTTAGATCATACCAACACAATTTCTGTTTTTATTCCCAGAAAGGAAGTCATGATAATGTGAGGAAGGTGAAGGGCTACCAACCCCTCTCCCCTAAATATCTATCTTAACATACCCCAAACTCTTATGTATGGATCTTAAGCAACAATGTTGAGGAAACAGTGTTGTCAAGTATATAAGAAAACGTGGGATTTAAAAAATTCATTTTCATTTCTTAACGAATAGAGGCTCTTCTCCAAATTTGGTCATAATTCTGAAGAAATTACGAGAGTGTAGGATTGGAAAATATGAAGCAAGAGACATAAAGGGCACGGAGAATACAACAATACGTCTAACATGTTATTGGAGCTTTTGAAAGAATGAGGTAAAGACAATGAAATATAATAGCTGAATATCTTTCAGAACTGATAAAAGACAATAATAATCCAAGGGGCCAAAAGAATCTCAAGCAGGATCAGAAAAAAAACAAAAACAAACAAAAAAACCCCAAAACCCCACAAACACACATATCATAGTGATACAGAACAGAGATAAAGAGGAGATCCTGAAGGCAGCCAGGAAAAAAAAAGTTGATTACTTTCAAAGGAGTATCAACCTTAAGCTGATAACTTACTTATGAGGGAAATAACTGAAGCCAGAAGACAGCAGAGTAACATCAATGTGTTAAAAAAAAATTCCCAACCTAGAATTCTATACTCTTCAAAAAATATTTTTTAAATGAGATAAAGATATTTATGAACCAAAATGGAGTTTGCTATCAGCAGACCTTCACTGAAATTCTAAAGATTGACTCTTGACTTCCACACTATATACATAAATTATTTCTAGATGCATCACAGATCTAAGTATGAATGGCGCAACAAAGATGAGAAGGGAAGTTATAAGCAATCTTAATAAAGCATCTAAAAGAAAACAGGAAAATTTCTTCTTTGCTTTCGAGCAGGCAAAGGTTTCTTAAATTGGATACCAAAATCACTGGCTATAAAAGAAAGAAAAATGATAAAATGGACATTAAAATTAACAGCTTTTATTTACTAACAGATAGCATTAAGAGAATGAAAACAGTCCCCTGCCTCGGGGAAGGTATTTGCAATACATAAACCTGACAAAAGACTTGATCCAGAATACAGAAGTAACTCCTACCAATCAATTAAAAAAAAAAAAAAAAAAAAAAAAGGCAATTTAAAAACAGGTAAAAAAATTTTACTAGGCATTTCAGAAAAGAAGATCTTCAAGTGGCCAATAAGCACATGAAAAGATATCATTTCCCTAGTAATAAACTAATAAAACCAAAATGAGAGAACTGTACATACTCAATAGAGATTAAAGGGTCTAAATTGAAAACATTGAAAATACTATGTTGGGACAATGTGACACAACTGGATTCCTCACACGTGGCTGGCAAGAGTGAGTTATTTGAAAGGACTGAAAAAATTGGTCAGCCTCTGGCAAGCTTAATCAAGGAAAAACAAAAGGCACAAATAATATCTGGAATGAAAGAAGGGTTATCACTATAGATCCTGTACATATTACAGATATAAGAGGATATTATAAACAACTTTGTATATTTCATCTAAATTTTCAAATTTATCACTATAAATTCCTAGAAGACTGCACCTTATCTAAAATAACACAATCAAAACTGACTTTAAAAGAAAGAGAAAATCTGAATAGATCTATAATCATTAAATAAATTGAACCAGTGATCAGAAATCTTCCCAAAAAGAAAACTTCATGGTCATGTGGCTTTCAGGTAGTTCTGTCAAATATTCAAAGAGGAAATAATTCCAGTCTTAGAAAACTTTTTTAGAAACAGAAGGAGGAAGACCTATCACTTACTTTATAGGTTAGCATAACCTTAATAAAAACTCATGAACACAGATGAAAAACACCTCAAATATATATACACATAAACACCCATACACACACAAATACATACACAGATATGCAAATGAAGTGGGTGTGTGCGCACGCACACACGATAAACTAAATCCAGCAATGCATAATAAGAATAATATATCATGAAACATTGGAGTTTACCCTAGGAATGCAAGGGTACTTCAGAAAACTGATTAACTTAACATCTCAAAGATGGAAAAAAAACCATACGATCATCTCAACAGATGCAGTAGTATAAAGTAACTTTGTTAACTTGATAAAGGGTATTTATAAAAACACCTTCAGCAAATACCATACTTACTGATGAAACACTGAGAGTGTTCCCCTTGAAATCAGAAACATGGTCAGGAAGTCCACTATTATCACCTCCAGTCAACACTGCACAACAAATCCCAACAAGCACAGTAAGACACGGAAAATAAAGACATAAAAACTGAAAAGAAACAAAACTTTTACTACTCATAGAGATATGATTGCATAACAGAAAAATACGAAAGAAGCCAGAAACACATCACTAGAATTAAGTGTTTTTGGCAAGGTTGCTGAACACAAGAATCAATTGGGTTTCTAAGCACCAGCAATAGACAATAAAAAAAGAAAAAAGATAGTTACAATGGCATAAAAAATGCAAAGTATCTAGGAAAAATCTATAAAATAATACATGTAAACCCACTGTGTGAAAAAGTATAAAATTTAATTGAAAGACAATAAAGACCTAAATAGATATGTCGTGTTCAAGGACTGGAAGACTCCGTATCATAAAGATGTGAAATGTCCCCAAGGTGATCTTAGAGATTCAATGAAATCCCAATCAAATTCATGAAAGTTTTGTGAAACTTAACTAGCTTATTCTAAAATTTATATGAAAATACCAGGGCCACAAATAGCCACGACAATTGTTAAGAGTGGGCAAGTGACTAGCTCTTAGAAATACTGATTTCTTATAAAGTTATAGTAATTTAGGCCATGATGTAAGGGTATGGTGATGGACAGAAAGCCTAATTGAACAGAGAGAGCCTAGAACCAGACCTCTCCATGTATGGAGATCTGATGGATGGGAGTGGTTCTGCAGATCAGTGGGTAAAATATGGACTATATTGTAAGGTGATGCTGGAAAAAGTGTAATACAATCTTTGCTTCATGGCACATATAAAAAGCTCTTCCAGTTAGGTTAAAGACCTAACTAGGAAAAGCAAAGCTATATATGAGGTATTCAGAAGACAATATAGAACAATAGCTTTAAGCCCTCTTTCCTTAATATAAGGTTATAAATCAATAATAAAAAGTAGAATCCATAAAGGGAAAAAATAGTCACATTAAAGTTAATTTTTATTAATGAAAAAGTACCATCAAGAATGGGAAAAAACAAGCCACATCCTGGGAGGAGATAGTTAACCAATAAGAACTGGTTATGTGATGAACTCCTATGAACTGATAGAAATGGGCAAAAAGACTGAAATGCAAATTGTAATTATAATTCATGCCTAAGGCCTACTAGATTAGCAAGAATTAATAAACCTGGGGCGCCTGGGTGGCACAGTCGGTTAAGCGTCCGGCTTCAGCCAGGTCACGATCTCGCGGTCCATGAGTTCGAGCCCTGCGTCAGGCTCTGGGCTGATGGCTCGGAGCCTGGAGCCTGTTTCCGATTCTGTGTCTCCCTCTCTCTGCCCCTCCCCCGTTCATGCTCTGTCTCTCTCTGTCCCAAAAATAAAAAAAAACGTTGAAAAAAAATTTTTAAAAAGAATTAATAAACCTAACAAAATTATTGCCAAGGATGCAAAATGAACTGTCTCACAGTGCTGAAGATA